AACACAGTCTATAACTTTATCCGTGTAAAACATTAGTCCTCAAATTTCAAGAAGTAACTTTATTGTACATTATTTTATTTTCTAAAATATAAGGACTACTATTTTAAATAATTAAAATTATAGAAATTGGGTTAAAGTCAAATTATGAGAGTTGAATTACAATTACAACCAAACCAAAATTTTAAGAATTGAATTGTATAGAGTAAAAGTTTAGATATTAAATTTTAATTGAGTTAAAACTAGAGGCACCAAGTAATCTAATTTTCTTTTCAATTATGAACATTTAGATGCATTTACACAAATCACACATTATTTAAAATTTATATTATTTTGTCGAGAGAAAAAAATTTATGCTATTAACTCGAGTTAATATGAGTGTCTATACATAGGAGCCCCCAACCTCAAAGCAAGATTTCCAAATTAGTCTTTTCCATTGACGGGTAGCATTCAGAGTCTATTACATTGTCGGCGAATGACAATCTTGATTTAATGAAGCACAATATCCACATACGAGTATCAACATGTTAATAATGCAACGGTTTGCTAAATTGCGTGTTACTATGCATATGAGACCAATCAATTACAACATTAATAGTAAACAGAAGTTTGATTATTTGGAATCAAAATCAATGCTTCCTTTTTCTTCAACTATAAAAATATATATAATAGTTCAGTAATGATCACAGTCACATCATGCTAAAACATAAATTTTTAAATTAATATTTATGTTTTATATGTCTCGTGTCATGCTAAAAAAGGGACAAACCGTTTAATGACAAATTGACAATGGATATTTTGATTAATTGATCTATACTTTTTGTTTGGACATTCATTTCCTCTGATAGGACTTGTTATGTAATCTCTCGTTCAAAAATATTAAATATTTTTTTTAGGGATTAGATGTTAAAAAATATAAAACATTTTTAATTTTTTAAGATACAATCATTGTTTTTTTAAGTACCTCTATTATATTGAATAAATTACTCTATATTTATTTTAGGATAAAACACCCTAATAAATAGGAATAAATATAAAAAGATATGATTATTTAGAATACAAGTAACTATTTTAATTTATTGATGATGAGATTTCATTAAAAATGTCTATATTTTTTAATGGAGAGAGTATTTATTTAGGTCTTGCCTATTTTTAGTCTAGAACAACTACTGCAGGAATAAGAAACTAAAAAAATTTGACTGAGCTAAGAAATTTCATGAAAATATAAATCACCTATATCAATAGTTTAATATAACAAATAAGATTTTTATTTTTTTTATATGTTGCACTATTTTTAAATCATGAAAAAATTGACTGATCTCGAATTTTATGCTATTGTCATTTCAAATGCGTCTTAGACAATTTTCTAAGAACACCTGGAATACACATGTCCTATTGACCTATGAAAATTTGAAAATTATCTACTGAAAATTAGGTAAACAGTATCCACATAATTTTTTCCCGAAAATAAAGTCTTTTATGTGGAATATAATTTTTTCGGAAAATTTGGTCAAAGAGTATTGGGCAATACCATGAAGCAGATTCAATGCATTGGTTAATAGATTGTCATACTTCCCCTAACTCCGAATGAACCGTTTCCTATTCATGCATTTTCAAACTATACCTATTATATATTTTGAAATTTTAATTAATCTTTGTTGTCAATCCAGTGGGTCTTTTCACCAAGGAAAGATAAAATATTTTCATTTAGGGATTATAAGGTTAAATGAATTGACTAATCCATTACTCTATCTAACTTATGCTTATTTTATATTGTTGTTAAATAAAAACAACAAAAAAATAAAAAATTGTAAAGTTGTTGACTATATTGCCCTTTATGACAAGACTTAAGTACTTAACATTATATTTACTATATTTTTATCGAATTAAATTAAAAAAAGTAAATTTTAATATGTTAGTAATTAATATATATGAAGAATTCATATGCATTAATTTAATTGAAAACAAATATTTTAAATATATAAGATTAAATATATAAATTTTCTTGAATATATGTTAAATAAGTATATAAGTTCTTCCCTAAATTATAATTAATAGAAGGTCGCTCATATATGTAAATGGATAACCTTATTTATATCAATTTTTTTATTAGGAAAATTTCAACTTAGGATTAGAGATGTGATATTATTTTAAATTACATCCAAAAAATTTTGAAAATACACTTATGGACTGGAGTACTAGATTGAAAATAAATTTTAAAGGAAAATTATCATTTTTTTTTTAAATTTCACCTTGCTGGAGCCCTATTGCCAGCTGTGGGACCACTCCTAGTAGCCATACCTCTATCAGAATTTTGGTGTTGGCCACCAAAAATAAATACCCAAAAGTAACTAAAGGGGTTTGAACCCTACACTCTTTGACACATCAAAAGGGTATTAATTAACCATTAAGCCACTAAAATTTCTTAATTATATAAAGCCAAAACAAATATATATAATATGACTAATCTTCCGTACCACCGGCAAAGCAAACTTGTTAATAATATTATTTGTTATTTTATTGATAATACTTGTTGGTAATACCTTTTACATATTCAAGCCTTGTGACTTTTTAAATTCCTAACTTAATTAGTGAATTTACTAGTGTTACTCGTTAATTTGCAAAAGTTGTTAACAATATATACTTTTTAAATGTTCAATCTTGGTGACTTATTAAAATGCTAATTTAATTAGTTAATTTGCCAAAGGGACTTGTTGAGAATACCTTACACATATTCAATCCAAGTGATTTGTTAAAACCTTAATTTAACTCCAATGACTTGTTAAAACTATAGTTTAGCTTGTTAATTTATTGTTAATTTCTTAGTGAAACTTGTTAACAATACTTTCTAAATGTTCAATTCTGGTGACTTGTTATATAACTATAACTTAACTTATTAATTTACTAGTACCACTTGTTAACTTATTAGCGAAACCTGTTAACAATACTTTCCAAAATTTCAATCCTGGTGACTTGTTAAAGCCTTAATTTAACTTGTTAGTCTACTAATACTACTTGTTAATTTAACTTTTTAATTTACTAACATTTAGAAAGTATTGTCACTAAGTAGTATTAGTAAATTAACAAGTTAAGCTAAAGTTTTAACAGGTCATTTAGAATGAATTTGTATAAGGTATTCTCAAAAATTTTTACTATTGAATTAACAAGTAATATTAATAAATTAAAAAGTTAAATTAGAATTTTAACAAGGCAATAATATTGAATATTTAAAAAGTATTGTCAAAAATTTTTGTGAGTGAGTTAATAAGTAAATTTATATGTAAATTTATATGTTAAGTTAGCAATTTAAAAAGTCACAAAAGTTAAACAGGTAGAAGATGTTGCCAATAAGTTTTACTAGTGGATTAAAAAATACTATTAGTGAAATAACAAATAATATCATTAGCAAATTTACTTAGCCATTGATTTGAAAAATTAGTTATGTTATATATTTGTTTTGGCTTTATATAATTAAGATGTTTCATTAGTTTAGTGGTTAATACTTTTTTAGTACACCAAGGGGTCTCGAGGGTTCAAACCCCTTGGCCACTCATGGGTGTCTATTTTTTGTGGTTGGCATTGGAGTTCTAACAATGATCTGACCATTGGAGCTTTGGCAACCTCCATGGAGGTGGTTTGAGGTTGGTTCTGATAATGGTCTAATAACTCGCAACGGAGCTTTGATGAGGTAGATTTTTTTTAAAAAAATAATATTTGAAGGACATTATAGTAATTTTTTAAAATTTATTTTTAATTTAGTGCCTTAGTCCTTAAGTAAATTTTTAGAATCCCTTGAATGTAATTTAAAATAATGTCACATCCTTAGTCTTAAATTAAAATTCTCTCCTTTTTTTATAGTTAAGTTATTTCATGATTTCTTTCTTTCTATTATCCCTTCTATCTACTAATTTATAATCTTATTTTAGTTTATTTATTTCCCATTAACCCATTTCATTTTATTTTATTTATTTCAACAACTAAACATATTTTAAGTCAGGGAATTGTACTTTGCTCATTTAGATTTTTTTTTTCTTGACATGTACATTAAGAGGTTTGTTGCATGAAAGATGTAATTTAGAAAATTCACTTGTTTCTAATTACTAAATTATCATTTATCAACCACATATTTTATATTGAGAAAATGATAATAAAATCTCTTCGAATTATATAAATATTAATGTGCTTACTTGAAATGATATAATTTTACTAAAATTTTTAAAAACTTTTATATCAATAAATTTTAAAATAAAAAAATTATTTTATCTTTATTAAAAATAACAGTCCCACTTATAAATTTTATTTAAAAAATAATAATTTTTTTTTATGAATCGCAACAATTGAAATAATAAATCATAACTTGTTAAATGTAATTTTATTATAGAAAAATGAGCTTTAATAACAATTTTTATTTAATGAATAACAATTTTTATTTTTAAATTATAATAGTTAAATTAAAAATTAAAACTTATCAAATTTAATTTTAAATATTAAAAAATAAGTTATCAAAATAATAAATTTCATTCACAATTTTTATTTAAATAATAATAATTTTTATTTAAAGAATTGTAAGATTTGATTAAGAAATCATACCTTATTAATAAAGATAAAATAATATTTTTAATTTAAAATTTATTAACATAAAAATTTATAAAAATTTTAATGAAATTATAGTATTTTGAAATATCAAATTATTATTTATATAATTTAAAAAATTTTATTATTATTTTTCCTTTTATGTTTCATGACAAATCTGAAAGGAGTCATATCATTTACGTTCCATGGAGGAGCTATATTTATCTAAAATAATAAATTTTATCCTGATATATTGACGTTGGGATTTGGAAGATAATAGAAATTAGGAAGAAGAAAAATCTATCAAAGATATATCAATGTCTTTGCTCTTTTGGGATCTATTTGGATATATTTGAAGTACGGTATGGCGTAGGGACGTCACAATCCATCACAGATCATCAAGCAGACATATTCAATAGATTTGGTAAAACTGGAAATCAAAGGTACGGTGTTCATTTAATCATGAAGAAAAGGCTATAATTCATGTGAAAACATGTTCAACCTCAGGTGATCTGTACTGCAGCTTCAGTGTGACTGGTAAATTTTGATCGCTACGGCTAATGTGTAACGATTCTTGAAGATAAAAATGATTATTGTTGATTCAGAAACAAAACTCAAGGCCTACGTAATCCTTTGGTGTCTCCACAGCCCAAAATGGAAGAAGGCAAGTTGCCCACCATATCCACGCCTTCCTGGAACACGACCGCCATGCCCATGTAGAAGTGAGATTCAATGTGGCAGTGGAAAATCCACACTCCAGGATTATCAGCCTGGAATCTCAGCGCCGTCCATCCATAAGGATGAAGAGGCACAGTGTTCTTCAATATAGGGTTCACCAAATTCAGCTTCTTCCCATCACTTTCAATGTCGAACTTCCCATTCCCAAACCCTAGAACCCAGAAATTGTGCCCATGGAGATGCCATGGATGTGTCTCGCTGTTCTCTGGGGTCATCGTGTTGGCGTTCTGCAGAATCACATCCACGGTGGAATTGAAATCCAGCTTGTAAATTCCGTTCCCTGAAGTGGCATTCACATTCCGAGGTACGCTGTAGATATCATAATTTGCAGAATCGTAGTTCTCTGGGGGTGGTGTTTGATCGTCAAAAGCACGAGTTAGATTATACTTCAGGGCAATAAGATAGGGGGTAGTAGGAAGGGTCAATGAAACATTGTTTAAGGACCACTTAGTGTAGCCATCTATAGTGTTTTGAGTATTGAGAAGCACTATGACTCTATCTGCCTTAGGAGGTGGTGTTTGGATGAAGCCATGCCTGGCTTTGATGGCAAGGCTTTGAGATAAGCGTGATGAAGAATCATTCCAAACGGGGCCTGGTGGTGGAACTGTTGTGGGCTTTCTTTTGGGGTGGTTTGGGAAGTAGTTGAGGATGGCTAACCCTAGTGGGGTTGAGGGTTTTCTGCTAACAACATTAGTGGTGATCCAGTAGTTTCTTGAGGGATCTTGATTGGCTTTCAGAAGCACTGAGTATGTCTCACCAGAGTATATGTATAGGTTCTCCACCTCAAATGGTTCCACATAGTGCCCATCAGCTTCTACAACAATCATCTTATGACCCTGCAAACAAATGATACAATTTCTTAAACACTACACATTTAGAAATTGTACAATTGCACAGACCTGCCGAGTCTGGACATTTCAAAAGGGTCATATCTTTGATTTCCATGTTTTAGACACTTGAGTTAAACAATATTTCACACTGCCCAAGGCATATCGTCTATATGAGTATTTGGTTTCACGTTGGAAACTCTTTTGGTGGTTTCTAATGTGGAACCAAAGATGTTCTATATCTCTATGCTTTCAAGGTATGGACTTGCATATGAAAGGTGGCTAAAGTACCTCAATTTGGAAACTGAGAGATGAAAGGGAAGTCAAGCTACCAATCCTGAGTCTATATGTTTTACCAGGCTCAACTGTTAGTACATACGGTGAGCATTCAGAATCTGTTGCTTTACACACTTCATTTACCGAGCTAGAAGAACCCAACAGAGAGCAATTGAACCTTCCTCTTCCATTTATCAACAATGACTGAAAGAACATGAAACAAAACACTTTGTAAACATAATAATTTTCGATTTGTTTTTGTGCTTTATAGAAGCATGCTCTGTTAGCATGTAATGCCACTTACTTGAGGCTCCCCAACAAAAACAAAAGGTATAGAAGACAAGCCTATGGCTTCATCGAAAGTGCTTTTGTGGTACCAATCAGTGAGAAGGATGTTATGGTCATGTTCATAGGTAAACGGCTCAGATTCCTCTTCAGGGAGAGCTACAATAATGGACCCAACTAGCCCAGCTTCTCTTTGCATGCCATAATGTGCATGGTATAAAAATGTACCAGCCTGGATGTTTCACCAAAAAAATAAAAGAATGAATAAAAGTGAAAAAGCTGATTTTCATCACAAATAATAAGATGAAATTTTTTTTTTAGCCACATTGTCTTGTCTAGAAGCTCACCTTGTCAACAACAAACTTGTAAATGAAGGTATCCCCAGGTAGAATGGGACATTGAGTAACCCCTTCTGTTCCATCACTCCAAGGTGTTCCTCTCTGCCATCAGTAGCGCAAAAATACAACCATTATACCTCAGTAGTTAGGATTGGTCTGTGTATACATTCGAAACAAAAAGGAATAAGAGTCTACTACGGCATTACCTGTCGTATACCGTGCCAATGGATTGCAGTGTTCTCTGTTGGCAAACTGTTCTTGACTTCAACAACGATTGTATCACCCTGCTGTGCCAAGATTGTTGGTCCAGGACTCCTCCCATTGATGGTCATAGTCAGCTTCTTCAAGCAATCTGGAGATCTGTACTCGTACTTTATCTCCCATTTGTAATGCCGAGACCTGGAATCTACTCTTGAAACAGTCATCAGAACCATCAATAACATTAGTGGCAACAAACTCATTGAGCTTCCTCTTTGCATTGAAGACTCAGCCATTTTTGTTTAGCTGAGAAGTTGCTGAGTGAAGACTAAAGATTGAAATGGCATTCTAATTCGAGTCTGTGCCAATATATATAAGAAGTTAGTCCAAGTGGAGTCAAATTGAAGAGTCTAGATAGTATAAGGTTACACTGATTTATACATAGGCCCCCCTTTTTTTAAAAAAAGATTTATGGTATCAATATACGTAGACTATTATTTATGTTATATTGCTATCACATTCTTCTCTTGGACAAGAGTTGCTTTATGGACGCAAATTTGAAGAAGCATATTTCTTGAGTAGATATTAATTAATGCCAAAATACGAGTCAGCATGTGCACATTTTAGTTAATCCATCCTTTTCCGTTGGAACAAGCCATCCTTTTTACTTTGATATAGAAAAACTAGAATAAAATAAAATCTGTAAGCATGCCTCTGTTGCTCATGATGATAATAGAAAAAGAAAAAAACTACCATCTTTTTCCACAACAGGATATAGGAAAACCATACAAGATTTCATTCAGGTGAAGTTGACTGACGCTCATCATCTTAATCAAGACATAGAAGATCTCTTTAAAATCTGTTTGGTTCAAGGGGAGGAAAGGGAGAGGGTAGGCCCTCCCCCCCTCCAATTCGGGGGGGTGTTTGGAGGGAAGGGGAGGGGAGGGGCTTCCCTCCACCCAACCAAAGGGGCTCTTCTCCCCCCTCCTCCAACCAAACATACCCTTAGAGTAAGAAAAACTCATGTAAAACGATAAAATCACTCTCAAAAATCACAAGCATCACTAGCCAGCTAATTTTCATATTCTCCAAGGTCATGTTTGGTATGATGAAATCATTTTATGCGAAATGAAAGGAGAAAGGGAGAGTGAGAGCATGTTCCATATATGATATATCCCTTATTATTATTATTGTTATTATTATTTTTGGGTTATCTACAGGCATTATCTCATTGGAAGCAGTTCTATTCAAGGTATTGTCAAGCATTAAATGTAAGCATATCTCCTAATGGGAATTTGAACTTTAGTTTACCACATTGTGAGGCACTATATATTTATATGATATAGGGTAAATGAGAAAAGTATCCTTGTATTTTACCAATAGCTTTATAAACCCTAAACTCATTTCTTATGTAAATTATTTTTTAAATTTTTAAAAATAGTGCAATTTAGTCTCTGCTATTAACAAAAGTTAATTTTGATCGTTAGTTGACTATAAGATAATAGAAAATGACTTTAAAAATTATAGAAAAGAATAAAAAATTATAATAAAAGATTCAAACATTATAGACAAAGAACTTAAAAAATTACAGGAAAGGATCACTTTTTTTTAATCTTTTTTTTGTCATTTTTCAGTTAACTAGTGGTTAAAGTTAACTTTTTGTTAATTGTAAAGATCAGATTGTACTGTTTTTAAAAAATTGAGAGATAATTTATATAATAAATAAATTTAAAGTTTATGATGCTATTGGATATAAAGTTTAGGAATTGTTTGTGTATTTACTTTATGATATATCCCTTATTTGAGAGAAGTGTTAATTCTTTAGAATTTAAATTATTGTGTGCCAAACAATTAAGATGGAGATTTCTCTCTTTCTCCTTTCATTGAATCTTCCTTCACTCGTACAAACCATGACCAGTATTATGCCTTATAGTACTTTGATCTTATATAATCAACAATAAATTGTATGATATATTATCAAGGAACGAATAATACAAAAAATAGGGGACACACACAACTTTTTTGTTTTTGCGACATATTTTAGAGGATTCGTATCGTAAATAACCCACGGCAAGGAAAGGATGGCACTTTTGTTTTCGGGGAAAGTTAAACAAAGGAAGTTAAAGCTGATGATTTGTTCTCCCAAAAAGATGTCAGAACACATTGGGATGAGAAAGTATTAAATAATAATCTACTTTCTGAAAAATGGATTACTTTGATAATCAGGTGATTGATCAATGATGATGCTAAACTAGAGAATCTGGAGAACACGTATGTTGCGGTTCATGAATGACAAGACAACGGTCCCTTCCTTGTGACATGGTGCAGAATCTATTTCACCACTAAGACTAGACACTCTTCATATTGAATCATGCATAGAACCTTTTCTTCTCTCTCTCTCTCTCTCATTTTTTTTTCAAGGTCCCATGCTGATATATATGGCTTGATATCAAAATAAAGTTGATTAGAAAGGTATATTAATTGGAGTGAGTGGGACGGATGAATTCAGTATTTGCCTTGTATCAAATTCAGCTATCTTTCAAAACTTGGTATTTGTTTGTCTAACTCATGATATAATGAGCTAGAATTTAACCTTTTATTTAAATATGAAAGAAATTAGGGAGGAAAGAAAATTAGGGGAAAAAAAACCTTTTAAAGGCAATATATGTTTTTCTTACTTTTTTGAGGTTTTTATAAAATCGACAGAAGTTGTATATCGCTTTGTACACAAGGATGTCAAAAACGGTTGTGCCTCAACTCGATAAACGCTACACCAAAGCCCAGGAGAGGCTGGGTCAAAACTAACATGTAAAATCTAGCGCAGCTGGCCTTATAAGGATCCATGATCAAGGATTTAAAAGTTAATGGTAAAAACTTTAATTGAATTGGGGTTAAGGTAGTCATTAACAAAACATTTCGTTAAATCAATTAAAATACTAGTTCACCTAATTAGAGCAATTCAATTTTGAATACTATGGTATTTTGTACCCAATGAATGCAAAATTATAGTTTTCAAAAAAATGAAAGTTATTACATTTTTACTTCCCTCCTTGAAAATATCATTTGTTCATAAATTGTTGTAGTGTATATTATTGACAGTTTATTTATGTTTCAAGCATAGACCTATTTATGTAAAATAAAGAAAAAAAGGAAATCTTTTTGCCCATGAGTTGAACTAATTCCTCATCCTCTATTAATAAATTTGTAAAATAGATGTCTACTCGACACCTACATTAAAAGCCTAATAAACAGAACAAGGGAGAGGATGCAGATTGGATGTGATCAAATTTTGAATGCAACGTTTTGCATTAAGAGCTAAAGCGAGAGCCATGAAATGTATAAACCAACCTCAACAAATTGTACTCAAATTCTCAGGCGTCTGTGATTTATTACTACAAGATTTTGTTAAATATCAAGGAGCATTTTTCACCAAACAAATTCTAATGTAATATGATCTTTGTCTTCTTTCCTTTCATTTTCAACCACCGCCAGTGAGCGTGATTGATGTTGCTTCGACCATCCACCATTGACAGGTAGTGGAGCTTGTTGATTTGCTATTGTATGTTTGTGAAGATCTCTCCGTTGTTCCCATTTTTTAGCCTACCGTGATCTATCATCTTGAGGTGCTAGTTGTGGGTCTGTTACCTTGTGTCTAATATTGATCTTCATTCCCTCTGCCATCTCTGACCTCTTCTCTTCCTTCTTCATTCCTGGCTGCCGTTGATAAGAGAGAGCTGAGCTGCTATGCATTCACAGTTATTGGTCCACCATTCTCGTAGCCGGTGTTTGCTTTGTTTCTTTTTCCTGAACATCTTTCTTTCACTATTATTTCTGTTCGTGAATGATAACCAAGTAAATAATTGATTTATGGATTAGAGGCTAAATTGATGCTAGCTTCTTCTTCCCCTATTCCATGTTAGAATGTGCTCTTCCCTTTGCTATGCGTGTTTCGTCGAACACTTGAGGGTGTTTGGAAAAGGAAAAATGTGATCAAAGTTAAAGGAAAATTTTGTATTTTGAGAATTTCAGGTAAGTGAATAACATCCCAACTAATTTTTCAACAAAATTTCCTTTACTAGAATATTACATTTTTATGCAAATTATGTTAATAACAACAATTTGATTTTTGGCTATTTTATTAATTAAATTACTTTATTTTGTGAAATTATTTTATCGTATTTGATCATTTAGTTAATCAATAAATATAAGTTTGAATTTTAATTATAGGATTTTATTACGAAAATTATTGAATTGCTACAAAAAAAATGATTCATGCGAGTTTAACATTGAAAATTAAAATTTTATTTTAATGGTGAATATTTTCTTGCATGTCTGAAATTGGGTTTAAAAAAAAGAACGTGCCATGATCAATTACTAGCTAGTTTGATTTTCATAAGCTCTGTTCTCACATCTGTTATTCGTGGGTCTCATACTTATGTCAATTTCGTGGCTTCAATCATGTCAAGTTAGTTACCATCATGGACCGTGCGTTCACCTTTGTTTCGTAACTTCGGCCTCGTCCGATTACTTATCCTCATAGACTATATGTCTACGTTTGTTTTCATGACATAAGCCACAGTTGGTTTTTTTACCCTCATGAATTGTGCATTCAAATTTGTTAAATGTTCCGATAGCCTAGTAAACAGTGGCAGAAAACAACAGGTTTTGGGGTTTTGGCTACCAGAATAACCATATATAGATAACTACTGAAGCAAAACTCAAGCTTTGGACACAAGCATGGTTCAGAAACACAAATGCTTCACAGTAAAAGTCACAAAAACCTCTCTTTATTTTCAGACCTACCCTATCAGCCGCTACAAGAGCATCTCTGTTATAATTGAATGGCAAGAAGTACTGGTTAAAACTCAACAATAAAACAGCACAAAAATACACAAATCATTGGCACTTTTCTCTTTTTTTACTTCATGCGCAAGCATCATCAAGTGCAAGGACTCCAGGGAGTTGCTTCCCCTCAAGAAGCTCTAAGCTGGCGCCCCCACCGGTAGAGATGTGGCTCATCTTGTCAGCAAGCCCCACCTTCTCTACCGCGGCAACTGAGTCTCCTCCTCCAATGATGGTAGTCACCCCCTTCCCACTCAGCTCTGCTAGTTTCTTGGCCATAGCCTGCACAGAAATGAGAATAGGCCATCATGCTAATGCCCAGAGCACAGGAGTTCCTCATGGGTTACATGCCGTAGCACTCTTGTATAAGATTAATCTACATCATGGACCAAGTGATCAATATTTGCTATGACGGGATTGTAACAAGGTCCTTTATTGTAAATGTCACAAACTTGCAATCCTTCGATGTGATATACCCGAGGAAATAAGTTGGTAAGAAAATTAAAATGGAGTGAAACAATATTCCAGTCCAGCTAAATTGTAAAGACATATATAATTAACAGGTTAATACCTCTGTTCCTGCTGCATACTTGTCAAACTCAAAAACACCCATTGGGCCATTCCAAATGATGGTCTGAGTATTATCCAAAGCTTCATTGAATGTCTTAACTGAATCAGGTCCAATATCTAACCCCATCCATCCATCAGGGATGCTTGATGCTGGCACAACCTACAAGCATTAACGGGGCTTTTAGAATTTTCAAGTTTTAGTTTTAAGCCATACTACTTAGATCATAGAGCTACTGCAAATAGTAATATAAAATTTCCTTCATTACGATCATGCAGCTTCCATAAGAGTTCTAATTACATTAATCAATTATCCGTCCAAATGCAGTAGTACCTTGCTGTTAGCATCTGCGGCAAACTTGTCGGCAATGACCACATCAGTTGGAAGCAAAAGAGAAACCCCTTTTGCCTTAGCCTTCTCAATAAGTGAAGTAGCAAGATCAAGCTTGCCTTCCTCCACTAGAGATGACCCAACTGAATGACCCTGAGCCTTGTAGAACGTAAAGATCATCCCACCACCAAGCAAGAGAACATTGACCTTCTCCAACAAAGATTCTATAACTCCAATCTTGGTAGATACCTTTGCGCCACCCACTATAGCTGCAAATGGTCTCTTGGGGTTTGCCACCGCTCCAACTAGATAATCAAGCTCCTGAAGTGACAGAACCAGTTACAGATTAATCAAATTGTAAAAGCTAAATAAATGATACAGCTAATAGTTATCAGTTTACCACCTAAATTACCTTCTGCATAAGGAATCCAGCTACAGATGGCTTTAAATATTTGGCAACTCCCTCTGTAGAAGCATGTGCTCTGTGGGCTGTGCCAAATGCATCATTTACATAAAGATCAGCAAGAGAAGCCAGCTTCTTTGCGAATTCAGGATCGTTCTTCTCTTCCTCCTTGTAGAATCTCACATTCTCAAGAAGCAAGACACCACCATCTGGGGTTTGTGCAACCAATTTATCAACTTCCTCCCCAATACAATCATTTGCCATCTTAACCTGTCATGACCAGAAAATAACAGGGAGATTAAAAACTATTAGTCGTCAAGTAAAATTAGTTTTTACGAATGAATTACTATACAGGAAAGTGAAGAAGCATACCTCAACTCCAAGAAGTTCAGACAGCCTTGGCACAAGGGGCTTCAAACTGTATTTAGGTGTTACACCCTTGGGACGTCCCTGGAAATGGCATTTTTTAAGCAAAAATAATCTCGCTAGTTGTAAACATTCATATTAAGGACATCTTCCTCAAAAGAAAAATATAAGAACTCAAATTTATAAGGACAGACTCAGCAGAAAATCTACGACCCTCGGCTATAGATAGCTTCGGAAATGAAATGCCCTTATGAATCGCTCCCAATGTGCAATGAAACAAAACCGAACTAATACAAATAGGCGATCCATAATGTCAATCCAAACACCAATCCAAATCAATCTCAAAGTGCATTTGAATGGGGAAGCACAGCATACCAGATGGCTGGAAAGAATGACCTTGGCACCACGATCCATCAAGTACTTGACAGTGGGAACAGCAGCGCGGATTCTGGTGTCATCAGTGATGTTCGAGTTATCATCCAAAGGGACGTTCAGATCAACCCTAATGAACACCCTCTTCCCCTTCAAATCAGCCTCCTTCAAGGTACTCACACTCCTCTTAGTCGCCATACCACACTACCTTCAAATCCAAATCCCCCAGAAACCAAACTGATCAGAACCAAAAAGAAAATACAAAACCAGCTGCTACGTAAAGATTGAAAGATATTCAATAGCAAAACTCACAATGATGGACGGAGAATATGATATGATGATCAGAGATGCAGAAAATACAGGTGAAATGGAATTTGCAGCGAAAGAAGCGAAGCGATGACCGGTGTGAAGATTGCAGCAAATTTATAGTGGGGAAGAGTCACTGGGTTTAGTGGGAGAAGGCACGCGTCGGTATTCCAGTGCTGGAAAACCCAATTGGCGAACGGTTGTGTGTGGGCGCAGTACATCCATGGCCCTGAACTTGCTTCACAAATCAGCTCTAAGCCCATTGTTCATTGGTCCACAGTTTCATACTTTAACTTTCTTCTTGAGAAATTCCAAGAATTTCTCTTCTTTTTAGTAGGCAAAAGCTCAACATTACACAATTAGACAAGTTTTGCCTTCTTAGAGTCCTTCTTCAGCCAGATCTTCGTGTCATCTAGCATCTGATGAGCATGTTGTCATATGTATTAAATTTTCGTGCTTTACACCAATGTATCAATATATTCCTATAACTAGAGCGAGAATTTCATTCTTGTTTCAAATGAAATTCAGGGTAAGTTGTATAGTTAAAAGAAAATCATATAATGCATAGATCATAATAATGAGACTTCATATCTTTTTTCCTATACAATTTATCAACATTTGATACCATCATATCATATTCGAATATTGTTGGACATCGTTTTTATTATTTGTAGAGTTTTAATCTTTGATCTTATGTAAGAGGAATCGAGTTCCTTCCATCCAATCTAACCACCTCAATAACAAAATTCAAACCTTAAATTTTTTGTAACTTATGGAAATGATGAAAGCAAAGGATTTGATCAAGTCTTTGAATACAAAAATTTTGTGCAACAGCATTCAAAAGCCAAGCTGGCTGGTTATCAACGATTCATAAGGCAAATTATGCCAAAAAAAAAAAATTGAATGAAACTATAGTTTGTGACTAGAACTGGAAATACAGGCAGGCTCAGCCTTTAAGGATTTGAACTCTAAAGTCCAATTCCTCATTTTTAACTCTATTTTTCAAGCTTGACACTCATGTGAATGGCTCAGGGTTGGGCCCACAAATTTTTTTTTTTAAATTAAATTAAATTAACATTAAACATCATAAATTAATTAAAAAATTTTGAAATTAAAAAAATAAAATTCTTATAATTTTTTAAAAATTAAACAATACACATTTAGAAGTTTAGTAATAAAATTTAAATCTTGAATAGAAACCGTTCATTTTTTATAAATACAGAAACATAATAATTATTAAAAAATAAAAAAATCAGAAATTTTATATTATATATTGATGTTTATTAAATTATATTAAATTAATTTTAGAATAAATTAAAATTAATAATAACATAATACTTGCAGAATTAGGTGAGCAAGTCATTGATTTTAAACACATTTTTCACCAAAGAAAAAAAATAATAATAATAATATAACAGGGCTTAAAGGGTCATCCATACTCGAGCCCTTTTTTATAGGGTTTATTAGGGTCAAGTTTTCAAACCTGATTATTTTAAAAAAATTCATTTTTAAAGTCCAAATATTTATTTAAACAGGGTCTCCAAGCTTGACTCTTGAGACTCGATCTTTATTTCTGGCTCCACTTGTGACCTTGCCATGTTCTCAACTGATTCCACATCTTTCATAAAAACATAACTATAAAAAACCGTCAAAGGACATATTCTAAAGTCACTTGAGATTAATTCAAATAGCAAGAATAAGATAGATGTAAACAATAGTCAAATGTCCGATGTAACTGAACAAAGATCAAAAATGAAAAAGCAAGAAAAGGCAGAAAAATTAATGAGAGGTTCAAAACCCTCTTACAGAAGAGATAAGTAGCTTCTTCCTGGTAAAGTCCATCCATTCTTTGATTGGTCAGGCCTGACCCCGAAAATTGAAAAGAAGGAAAAAAAAAAGAGGGGGAAAAATTGCATCCAGGTCCCACATAAAAGCCTTTTTTTTTTGGTATGATTCTAACTAATAGCTTTTGGTTAGATGTAATTAAAAGCCTTTGGTTAGATGTAATTAAAAGCTTTTGGTTAGAATCATATTCAAAATAATCAAACAAATATAACACCCTTATGCAAACAAATATATATTGTATCTCGTTTTAAATACAGGATTTAATTGAGAAGTTTGTTTTAGTCCTAAATATAAGACCTTAATCACCTTTATCTTACGTATTTACCATTTTTTCTGAAATTACTCCTATGTGTGCAATCAATAAGGGTAATTTCCTATATAAATGATCAAAAGGAACAGTATTTTAGAAAAAACAACACACACTTTTTTTTAAATAAATAACTAGCTTAATTTCTTAAACTATAGATCTACTCCTATATTTGATACCAGAGGAAGATTTTTTTAAAATGCTAAAAAACCAAATATACCGGGCTTAAGAAAGATTATATATATCAGTTGCACGATGAGACACCATCATGTTAAAAAGAGCAATGAAAAAAAAAAAATACAGATTAGAACACACCTATTAATAACATTAGAAAATCCCCTCATTTACTTGATCCAATTCCTGAAAAGAAAAATGAAGGGAAATGAGTAAATCTTGTTGAGTTAAATAAACATCAAGAATGCACTATGAGAGTGAAAGTGATAATATAGTAAGACAATAACTAGGAAGACCATTTTGAGAATGTAATAAACTCTCACATGCAAATATTCAATATTTTTACATACATGATCATCAAAGTTTGGATCATTTTGTTCAAACAGCACACTAATGGAATGATAAAAAATGGATGCATCAAGCGCTGCCAAAATTCATAAAAAGAGAAAATATCAAACACATAAACAGAAAAGAAATGCCAAAAAAAAAGCCTGGAGGTTACCACTATATTAAGTCTTATTATTTACGAAAATGTTTAATTGGTCTAAAAAATGTTATATCTCTTATTATTTATGAAAATGTCACAATCTTTATTTTTTACATCGTTCCTTTTTCAATCGGTGTAAAAAGTGTTTTTTATAATAGTGATTTGAGCTTTTAGCAATGGACTAATAATGAGCAACTTGAGATGAATTTGCTGATGGATTGGAAGCCTTTAAACATCTTAATTCCCAAGAAACAAATTATAACAAACGAAAAAATAAATAAAAAAGTGCATCCAACATAAATCATTGAAAATTATAAAATTTCTATAGCGACATGACAACATCAATATGATTAGGTACATATACTACTAAGTGGTTGTTAATCTGAAGATGTTCCATGAAAATATGCAATTGAAAATTAAAAGCCGAAATGCACATATTGAGTTCAATAATTGTGATAACATATATATACTTTGATTTATTTCCATGCATCCTCTTGGATTAGGATTCACATTGACCACTCACATATGTAGATTTTATCTGTTTAGTGTCATATTCATTCAAAAGCGCTAGGCACAAGGGGTTATATAATTGTAATGCAATTAAAAAGATTGTTTTAAAAAATGTCATCAACTCACCTGTAAAGGGTTGAGATCATTTTTAGAGATTTGGTGAAATGCTTGATAATTTTGTTCAAATGACCTTGTGGGATGAAAATTCGATACATTTAGGTCCTGTCCAAATCTCAAAAAGTTAAGATATCAATGAGCATATATAAAGAAAGTAATCCAAATGCATGAGGTGTTCCAAATCTTGAAATTTTTTTTTGACAAGAAATGATATATATACACTTGCAAATTAAATGCAAGCGGCATTAGATGCAACTTACATTAGATGTAACTCGTTCCCTTTCTTCTTGACTAAATAATCCCAAACCAACTTTTTTATACAAGTTATTTATTCTTCTTCATGCTTTTCATCCAAATCCGATTTCTTCATCCAAACAAACGGTGTGATGTATTAAGTCTATGTAAGAATTTCTCACTACAACATCAATTTTGTGAGGTGCCGGTTCATCATAGATACAACAATACGCAGCATCTCAACTCTCTCCTAGTACTTCTCAATGACAACGAGACATATAGTTCTTGCTGTTCAAAAAATACACAAACTTCACTCTGGCCTAGTCATACTCCGTTATGCTGTCCAACAGGAATTCTATGACCCTGTTTAATATACAGGTCTCAATTTAAAAGAACTGAGATTATGATTGAGATTGGTATTGAGATTAAAATTGGGATTGTGGTTTTAAAAGTTTGCTTGGTAAGGAATAATATTTGCATGGAATACTTGCAATAGTTTTATTTTATAATAAATTAAAAATTATCAAAAGACAATAATGACCCTTATTAAAAAAATGCAGAGTCTGAAACTCAAATTTGGAACTCCATTTGAAAAAGCATTTTGTTTTCACAAGTCCAGCCACAAGCTCGAATCTAGGCATTCTCAATCTCATATACACAACAACAATTTGAACTAGATTTGAGAACCATATCTTAAACACAATCTTGAACTAGATCTGAATGCAAGTAGATTCGAGCTTGGACTAGTGGGAGGTAGACGGAGGGAGAAGGGAAGAGACGTAGAAATGACAAGGACACGATCTAGAGGGAGATGACTTGCGACTATATGGCGGCATGAATGACTTGCGCCACATCTCTTCTCTCTTCCTCATCGCATCCTCAAGGAAGAAATCTGCAACATCTGCGGAGGAGGGGCCGAATCTCATCCTCAATCTCTTTGATTTTTTAGGTAGCGTCAATGGAGGAGAGTTGGCATTAGGGTCAATGCTTGACTGAGAGGTGGGATGAAGATGCTCAATTAGAAGGCAGAGCAAGAGAGACGAGGAATAAAGGAGAGATGGTGGCATTTTGGTACCAAAAAAATCAACTCAGGATTAATTTTGGTGGAACTGACCAATACTATGGGGTAGTAGGTTTTAGCATTTCTACCTAAGTGGGATTGAGTAATCTCGAGTATTGATGAATGCCTCATACCAAACATGTGAAAGGTGGGATTACTCTAATTCAATCCCAATATTTACCTTTAAATATTACGTATCAAACGAGCCCATGTAATTGCTCTCCAATCTATAATGGGAAGGATTGAACCTAATAGCTTATATGGAGCTCAAGTGTTGTTAGATTGAACTTAACAGCCACGTTAGCAAAAATCATAACAGAATTTGCTTAGTTGGCACTTATGGGGACTTGCATGTAAGGATGGATTTGCTCAATTTTAAACACTGGGGATTGGATTGAAAACTAAGGTAAAGTAGGAGGATCAGAGTATAAAGTTTCCCTAGTAAAAAAATGTCATTAACTCCCTTGCAAAGAGTCATAAATATTTG